TATGCTGAACCCTACATGTATACCCCCCCCCCCACACACACACACACTCATAGAGATGCATAGGCAAATGCTGGTTGTGCCGATGTGCATTGTTGTGTACGTAGTAGGGAGCGATTTTCAGCAGTGCCGAGGTCCGCGTGGGCTATTTTTCTCCGGCCCTGAGGAAAACCTGCGAGCGGTCGCCGGCGCTGAGACCATCTCTCTCCCCGTTTGCCGCCGCTTAGCTCGCCTTCCTCCCCCAGCCCGTCGGGCGTCGCCGAGATTTATCGCCCGCTCTTCGTCCTCATTTTCGCCGCAATGCCTCCTTGATCCTTTAATTATCGCTTAGGTTCAAGTTTTTCCTCCCTTTCTTTATTAAACTTCCTACCTCTTGGGAGCGCGCTTTGTACGAATTTGCGGTCTGCTAAACATTTCGGGAGACTCCATTACGACGGCTGCCTCCGGGTGGGCGCCGACGCCGGTCATTTGTTTCAGGACTCTTCCCCTCCCTCCCCCATCTCCGTGGTACCATATCACCCCCCCCCTCACACACACACACACACACACACACTTTGCTCTCGACGGCTGCGTCTTTGCTTGTGCACGAAGCCCCTGGCGCCTTCCAGGCAAAGTTCCGTTTGGGCAATTACAGACTTGAGCCCAAAAACAACAAGACACACGAACATCTCTGTTTGTTCCGTATCATTTTGTGCTACCTAAACAAATGTGCGTATTAATTACTTTAATTCACGCATTAACATGCATTTCATAAAGTTTTGTGATTATTAATGATATCCGATACAAATATTTATATTCCTATATAAACCTGCCAGTCAACTTCTCAATATTAATTATGACATCACGTACACAAATATACAATTAAGCCTTGGTTTTACTAATGACTTCCACAGTAGAAATTCACATTTTATGCATGCATAAATATATTTGGCTCTGTAGATGTTAAAACCCATTAAATTGGCAGAACGGCATTTTCTTGTAAATAATATGGGAGATAATTTGTAAGAAATCTTTAGATTAAGGAGGGCTTTTTATGGAGGATTTTTCGTGCCAAGGAACTTACTCAACTTGCACCTCTATAATTTGATTTCACTACAGTCAATCAAATGTTCGCAAGACGCACATCTCATCCTTCACAACTTTTCCATTTTGTGGGGAGCTAAAATAAAGGAATCAAATTCATGGGTCTGATCTACCTTCCAGATCATTACAAGGTTGAAGTGCATTAAAAATCTTAATTCCCAATATTTTCTGGAACGTGCGTGACGCGATG